GGAGTATGCAATGGCCGAAACGTGAATATGGCAATGAAGACGAGGATAGCCGTCCGATTAATGTAAATAATTTAAGTAATGATGATACCACATCTCAGATTATAATAGCCATTTTTTTTTGTATAAATTTAGTCATTTTTCATCGATTCTTTCTAAATATTAATTGAACATTATCCACAAAGAGATCGTAAATATGATCTGGTAAATTAGAATGACTTATTCTCTTTTTCCCAAACTAATATTATGGGTCGACGAATTTCGCCTCTCAATTATTTTTACATTGTTTATTATATAAGCAACCTTTGGCCATCCTATCTTATTTTCTGAGACTTACTTTTGGAATGGGATTAAGAAATGTATCAGTTCTCTCGGAAACCACGCTTATAGCAAATGCGACCAAATCTCTGTCTATATCTCCGAGATGAGGTATTGTAATTATTTACACTATTTACATTGTTGTCAAGGACACACAGCCCAGTGGATACAAGCGGTGGTTGAATCCAGTCACTTGTCCCAAAGATTTGTAAGTTTAGTACCTGAATATAGCTGAGGTGAACAAAAACTTAGAGACTTAAGTTAAAGGAAGATAACTGATACAGTACATCCGGAAGAGGCGTGGCACATGGTACAAGCGGTGGACTAAATTTCGAAATGCCAATCACCTGAAGAAGGTAGAAGCGTACAACGGTCGAAAGGTTTTGAATATGGCAACGAAAATGAGGACAGCATTCCGAATAATGTAAATATTGTAAATGAGCATCCTAATATTTTTATTGGCACTGTCGATATAAAAAGTCGACGTTACATAACTTATTTGTTATGTGCGTCAAACTATTAATCTATCCCATATTTATATAGGATGCATCTTTAATCCGCTCAAAGTTAATATAAAATGTTTATTTCTTTAGTACATCAGGGTCACTGCTAATGGTCTCTCTTCGACAGAGACATCGACGAATTAAGTCTCTATACTAAATACGTACTTAGAAATGAAACTCATGAACGATTTCTATGTTTTAGTTTATCGAATTTAAGTAAATTAAATGCTGCACCTGATACACGCTTTGGCTATCATGTTTCTTTCGGTTCATGATTGAGTAGACAGGAGATTTCCTCAGTAGGCAACCGTTTCTTTTTGCGGTAGGCTGATTGTAATCCAAGACTATGGAACCCAGTGCACCGTACTATTCATCTCTTAACCTGTTTGGGGGACTTATCCATTCATACATTTTCCATGAACATTTTCACGTAAGTGAATGCAATAAACGCGACTGGAATTAGAATTCGTCACTCCGAGTCCTCATCCTGAGGCGTTATGCCTTATACAACAATGCCCATTATTGAACGTACAAGTCCAAAAAACCATACTTATTTCGAAAAGTCCAGAAGTGTAAATTTGTTTTCTTATTTATATTAAATGTTTTTATATACATTATTTATATCTGTAATATTGTCCTATTTTCGTTGCTATTTTCATCAAAATCTTCCGGTTGATGTGATCTCCAAACTGATATCAGGTTCATGTTTATCCGGTTAATCTGCTGGGCATTCTGAATTGGACCCTTTATTTAATATACGGGAGTATTATCCATGTCTGGAGATATCTCTCCTACTTAATACTTTTATTACTGCCAACTGATTGCTTGCATTGTTTCCACCGAATCCAAGTACACATCACCGGGCCGAGGGATTGAACTCACATTAACTATATCTTCAAATCATCGAATAAATGATTTAGCCCATCAGGCTATTGCCCCATAAACCCGGAATAAGAGAAACTCTGTAAAGGCATGGAGAAACGTCTGGATGGAACCTACACCCGTCTTCTGCTGAGAGCTCAAAACCTCTCTTTGAAGCGTCATCCAGCCATCCACCAAATCAACGACAGTCTTCCCTGTGTTTCTTATCTCATACGAGCTCGTCAAGCACATTTTGCTGGCCACAGCCACTCTGCTGAGAATGAGGTTGTCTCCTGTCTCTTATTCTGAAAGCCTACGCCAGACGTGACCAGGGGCTGAAAACTTTCATTTCCTCACGTCATCTCAAGCGATGCAGGCTTTGGTAGGCAGCACTTGAGGACATCAATGAAGGACTGGGATCTCGATTACCGTCCTTACAAAATTATGATAATTAAAAATTATTTGAAAATAACGATGCGCATGTGAAATCATTTTTTTTCTCTTCAAAGGCAATGTAAATGATTTCATTATGCATTCCATGAAGAAGTCCTGTTATACATAAATTAAAAACATTTTATTAAACTGTATACAGTAAAAAGCTCAAGAGTCCCTCAAGTAAGATAATTACTGAATGAGGTGCGTGATATGAAGAGGAGGAAGCGAACATTCTGAATATATGGAGGATACATAGAAATTGATCATTCACTTGAAAATGTTAAGATTCACGTATCCAGGTAAGTTATAAGGTTCTTCGACAAAGTAATAGTCCTTGAGAAAAGACTCTTCTTAAACTTCCCCGTAAATGAGGAATACAGGCGAAATGTGGACGATTCGGTTCTGTGGTCGTAACATGGCTGCTCATAGCTATAACTCTCTAAAATGTTCGAAAATCTCATCCAAACTTACTCCATTGAAAGAACGAGGGATTAGTAATTGCGTTTGTCAGAAAGAAGTTGTATATTTTGGCTTTTAAAATAACAGTTTTTATTTGTAATAGGTTAAAATATGAATAAAGAGTTCATTCATTTATTTTTTATTTTAGAAGCAAATGTCAGGACGATTCTCGGAAGTCAGCAACGAGAAATGCTTTTATCGTGCGGAAACGCTCGACTAAAAGAAAACACAAATTTAGATTTTATGACTTCCTTAACAGCTTGTAAGAAGAAACATAAAGAGAAAGGAAAAGAAAATTTAGACGATGATGAAGCAATTGATGATTTTGTTAGCGGTAGTTCTTTTTTTATAGTCACTATGATCAAATGATATTTAAGGTCGAGAAAATCAGTTTCTTTCCATTCAATCTAACTTCTGTTTGCACAAGCCAACACGTATGAGTAACACCATAAACATCGATCAAACTAGTTCCACTGTAGATGTCAGATTAACTTATATCACTAATCCTAACCCCAAACCAAACGACGAAACTCTGAAAATATGGTTAGAATGATGGGAAGGATAAAAAGATAAATTAATTTTATAAAACATTCTTGTCGTCTGCAAGATAAACTGAATAAATGAAAAGAAGCGGCTAAAATCAATACCTCTCCGATTATCCGGATGATTTACAATAGGCGACAGAAGTTGAATATATATATATATAATTATTTATATATATATATATAATTATTATATATTATAAAGCGCTCAATAACAGAGATAGCTCAATAACATATATATATATATATATATATATATATATATATATATATATATATATATATATATATATATATATAATTATTATATATATATATATATATATATAATTATTTATATTATATGCGCGGTACTTATTAGAAAGCGCTCAATAACAGAGATAGAGCTAACATATATATATATATATATATATATATATATATATATATATATATATAATATATATGCAGGTAAAATGAGAACGAACATTTAACTTAAAATAGGGCTCAATACAGTGTAGAGCAATATTATATACTTTAGGATATTACATCGGAAATTTTTTCGATGCGAATCAATGCATCTCATCAGGCGATTAACTATATATATATATATATATATATATATATATATATATATAAATCTTCATTTGGATAATTCAAAATTACGGATAATCGAATATCTAAATAATCTTAAAAGAATGAAGAAAAATGTATTTCTCTGAAAGTAATATATCATCAAATAACATTGTTCGAGGTTTTGTTAGCATTTTTGTGATTTTGGCTAGCCATGCGTTTTTCGTCGCTAACTTATGAAGCTGTGATTAAAATCGATGTATTTGAAAGTGTAGCTTCTGGTAGAATGAGACAGCAATACATTTGTCAAATATAAATCGTTAACTGCGGATTTGTTTATATCATATTTTGCAATGATATCAGATTTTTGAAATTTTCATCTGCGCCATGAAAAGCATCTTTAATTTCTACTCAACAGCTTACACGTCATGTTTTTTTTGCTTTTTGTTTTATCATTTGAGGCCATTTCGAAAATTTACGATCAGGAAATAAGAGAAATCAACACTCGGGTTGAAAAGTTTACCCACACAACGAGCAGTTACGTCAGCCAGAAAATGTTAGCAGTAAGGTTTTTTTTTGTAACATTCGGATAATCGAATTCCGGGAAATCAGAATATAAATAATGGACGAAGTACTGGATAGATTATATAATATACGAATATTTATCCGACGAAAGAAAAATAACCTGGTCTAAAAGGTTTCCTCGGGCATACACCGTTGTGCAAATTAATTGAAACAACTGCTTTAGTTTCCTTTCTTTCCACATCCAGTCAGCTTTAGACCCACTGGAATGACTGGGTGTAATCACTTTCTTTTTTTTTTTTTTACCTCAGATTAGGTCATTTAGGTGGTTTGCAGTAATATGAATCTATTTTCCGGTTGTGTAATGAACTTGTTTCATTCGTGACAGCATCAGATTTTTATCACGCCCAGACACTATTGTCTCGACTGTCGATTAGTTGTCTTACGATCTTTATGTGCAATCGACATTACTCCAAGTAAATGTACGAAAATTGTCACGCTGCACGAACACACTGGCAAGCCTTATCAGTGAGAAAATCAAATTACTGGCCCGGAACTTCTGATTTAAATCCAATCGAGATTCTGTGGTCAATCTGCTATAAACGATTTTGTGGAATGTAGATACGAATTACTAACTTTTTCATCTTTCATTGGAAACAATATGAAAAAAAGTAAATAATAACGGAATTACTCGTTTTCTTTCAATTATTTTGCAGAAGGGTATAATTTCTTATTGAATAATTGAAATATTTTCAGTTTCTCTTATGCAAACCAGTATTTCACTGACGAAAGATCGAATATTTTTTTATTGTACGGCCATATCACGTTGAAACACCAGTTCCCGTACGATCACCGAAATTAAGCAACATCATACCTGGTCAGTACGTAGAGGGGTGACTACTTGGGAATACTGATGGTGTTGGAAGCCTGGATGTACGTATGAAGTAATGGATAAAGTCACGGAATTGTTAATCGGAGATTCCCAAATCCACTTGTGCTTGTCATATTCACTTACGCGCAAATGCCCTTGGGAAATGGATGAATCCACCTGTTCTTCCTCAACTATGGGTTAATTATTAAGATTTGTATCACTATACCATTATTACCTTTAAAATATAAATTTTACAATCTAAAAATATTTTCTATCTTTAAATAACTTATAAAGAGATGATAAAGCGGAGAAAACAATCGATTGATTCAGACATAAATCTTTGAAAATGTTAAACACCAAGAACGTTTCTGGGCTTGAGGTAATTTTGTTCATTGTTCAGCCGAGATCATTTCAGTACCCGTTTTTATAATACCCTACTGATTTTCTACAACCATTCTCTCAGAGGACATATCTGTCGAGGAACCGATTTTGTTATGCTATATATAAGTAATATTTATTTCAAATCAAATTAATTAAACTTTAAATTTGCTAATTTTGTTCAATTAACACAAATATATATCTAAAATAAAAAAAATTCAACCGATAATTCTGTTTTGTTTACAAATTTCTTAAAATTAAGAAAATGACCGCTTTTAAGAATTTTTTTTTTAAATCAAGCAAATATTTGGCATTCCAATCTATATACTTTTCTGTTTGAAATACACCAGAATATTTTACTTACTGGAAATAATAAACTTAATCAGATTTCAAAGCTAAGTTGAAATCTTCAAGAAAGATTTTCATTATAAAAAAAAATCATTTTAAAACTTAGGTATGAAAAATTCAGTGTAGGTAGCGACATAATACCATCAGTTTTCCGAAATTTATTAACTCTTGTCGATATGTAGAAACTCAAACAATGCTAGTATTAGCAAAACATAAATCGATTTTACTGAGACCGATAAGGAAAGTGCCTGAATTTTAGTAGAACTTGTACATTTACTAGCTGTCCGGTTTTTAAACAGGTCATCACTTCAACTTCAAGGCAAACCTAAAGATAGAATTAACAATTAATTCATTATTCTAGACAAAGGAATAAAATGGCCTTAATCCATTCATAGATAGAGCGATAGTTCTGTAGACAAATAAGAAGATATAAAATTAGATCCTAATCATCATTCTGTATAATGAAAGTAATGAATGACAGGTGGTGAACAGGGTGAGTCATACAAAGATTACTACAAGCGTCATAAAACGTTGATTTTATCTGCTAAGCCTAATTGGTTGTATTTTGTAATTTAAATTGCTTGCAACATTTACTCATAAATGTAAAAGAAATTCGTCTCGCTATCAGCACACGGAAAGGATTTTGAAAAGTCTGAAAATGATTACAGGAAATTCTTATTCAAGTCTTTGGAAAAGCTTACTTGGGCCAATGGATCGAGGATGGGAAATGAATCGAGTTAAGAGAAGTGAAAGTATAAATAGACGCGTTGTTGATTTCGTAAAGAGACTTAAGAAGCAATTATAAAACCCGCATCATTGAAAATGTACATAATATCTCATCTTGTAATAACGCCTTAATGAAGGAAACCAATAAGAAGATACCAAGTAGGGTTTCTGTATCCACGGAAATAAGATTTACTGTTTCACTTACCTGCGATTGATTTCAATCAGCAAAAATCCTCGTTTTCAAAACCTTTCTTAAACTGAAAATTGCTTGACAATTTTAAATGAATAAAATGAGAAGAAAAGGGAGATTTATCACCAGAATTTATCTTGCATATTTATAAATATACCATTATGCCAAATCTAATGTAGTGCTCCTGATATTTATTTAGAGATTCTTGATGTAATCAAAAGAAGAATCTGCGGTTTTATTGTTACTGACCTGGCATCTCGGTTCCAGTCCTTTTCCCACCACCGTGACGTAACTTATATCTGTCTTTTTCTGTTAATACTTTCTTGGTAATTGGTCTGATGAACATTTCTGAATGGTAAGTTGACTTCCTGAACTTAAGCGTAGTATTAGATTGACAACAAGTTTTCATCACTTTACAGTTGAATTGGCTAGATGCAACCGAAAGTTCTATCCAAATCGTGTCTTCTCTCGCACTTGTAGAACTCTCTTGCGTCTTCGTGCTTCTCAGTCAATTGAGCTTAAAAAATTTAAATAAATTTTTTATCATTATATTTTGTCTTCTTAATTCGTGTTCTTTTAGTGTCCTTTCTCCTCAATAATATATTTTTTTCATATTTTCTCCTCGGTATCCTAGTGGTTTTTTGTTGCTTTGCTTAGGAGTAAATGATTAAAAAAACTATATATATATATATATATATATATATATATATATATATATATATATATAATTTTTATTTTTAAAAAACTATATATATACATTATTTAATTTAAAAAAAAACTATATATATATATACATAATTATTTAATATAATTAAAATAATTTAATATTAATTTTAAAAATATACAACAACCATATAGTTTTAATATTACTGTAATTCCCCACGTATAATACGCCTTCATCCATAATTTTGCAGGAAGTGTGGGAAAATGCTTCTACTCAAGCCTAATACGCACCCCCTTGTTTGGTAATAAAACCCTAGAAATTGTACCTTTCCAATTTGATTACGGGCAGCATTTCCTACTATTATTAAATATAGTTTAAACATAGAAAAATATTATTTTAATTTATTTTTATGATAATTCTTGATTTATTTTACGGCAATGTGTTAAAGATGTTTTCTAGCTGTGCATAATACGTATCCTTGATTTGTCTTATTATTTTTTAGAACAAATGCGTATTATAAATGGGGAATTATGGTAATTAAAATTATGAATTCCTCATCATTAGATTCTGAGGAGAAATGTCAATGTAAAAAATCTCTACTATTTACATTTGAAAAGTTTTTTTTTTTAATGTTATTCGTTATATTTCTAGAGTCACTAAATGGAATTCAGGAGCAAGTAGAAACTCAAGTTAAAATACGAGATTAGTACGATAGTCAATCTAACAGATAACCTTTACTCTGTATGTAAGCCCAGTTTAGATTCTAGTTAATCATTGAATACATTTCAAATTGCATTCAGTATCCTGTTGATTGCTGGAATGACAAGAATCTCATAGATTATCAGATTTTTTCTTCGAACTTAATCTTATGTTAAATTTAGTCCAACTTTTCACCTTGAATGGAGGCAAGTTACAACATTATTGTTTCTACTGAAGAATTGGAATTGCATGTACTTAAGTTGTAGCCTTTTAAAAAGATTTGTCCTTGATACCAAGACATGCATAATTAAAAACCGGGTCCTTTCAAGCGCACTAAATAATTATCACTAAATCTGCCTCTGTCCCACGTGAAAAAGTAAAAGAAAATAGAATAAAGATTATATTAACCGTGAGAAAACATACCCATATTACATTTTTTCAAATTATTCTTACTTATAAAGTTTCATGATATTGTCATAGATACAAATATTATTTCGAACCAAAAGACATAAAAATGCGACACTGCACGGCAAATTTAATATGTAGAACCCATAGTCAAATAAACAAAATGGGTTCTTTTTAAGCAACCTTTTCGAAACCTACTTCAGTTGCCTGTGTCGAACAGCAGCCATTACAGCGTTCAACTAACCACACGATTTTCAGTACACTGAACAGTTTCCACGGTCCTGCACCTGTAGTTTTTTATCGCTGTTTCATGAACATTTCTCAGTGTGGTTTTCTATATTGCATCGTATGGAATAATGTTGCGATGGATAAATTGACGTCTAAATGACGCAAAAATGAAAATGAAAATAACATTGCCATCTCATTTTAACAGATGTATTTACCAGAATTACACAGAAATATCTTGAAATGATAAAGAGTAAATTTATTCAATAAAATCGGCACCGTCTTCGACAATATATACACAGCCGCCAAATGACTTCAGAATCTCCTGCAACTCTTCTGAACTGTCTCCTTTTTAAATATTATATAATATATATATATATATATATATATATATATATATATATATATATATATATATATGCTGACAGAAACCTTGCCTTCAGTTAATCTGTAGTGCAAAAAGGAGTTTTGTTCTTGGTCTCTCGATTAACTGCACCCCCACATATAATAATCAAGGGTGTTGCAGGCTCGGAAGTTAGGTGGCCAGATTTAAGGGGTGATGTGGTCGCAAAAATTGTCTGACAATTATGACCGGGTTCTCCTACATTTGTGGCATGGTGCAGAATCCTGTTGCCAGAAATAGGTTCTTCCAGCAGCCACCCTCTATACCCATGACAACACTACCCACCGATGGCACTTAATGTAGGCCTCCACGTTGATTCTGTTGCCCTGTGGGAAGAAGAAGGAAGGCATAAAGTCGACATTAATAGTGATTACTCCAAATAATCACCATTAGACGCATCCAACTCATTCCCAATACACTGCAATGTTCACAGATTGACATTCAGACACACTGAAATGATGGAATTCGAGCTCCCGGCGCAAATGCCAAGCAGTACAGCATGCACATTCCAAATTTATGATGGAGTGAATTGCTTCATAGTGCTCTGTTTCTCACAGTCGGTGCCCAACGGACACTAGTATACTGTGCAACCAACGGAATCAATAATAAACAACGCACATGTGCGAAAATAAGAATATAAATTGGCGACAATTTATCCATCGCACCCGTTATTTACAGAAAGCCAGTACTAAAAATACAAAACATGACAATGTATCATATCTTTTGTCAATACTGTGAAGTCATTTTTGTCTCACGATGTCGTGATGTGTTTGGCGACGTCTACACAATTCAGCTCTAAATTTGCTTCAGTCATTACTCAAATGAATAAAAACAAAGTTGTGTTGTTAAAACGCGAGGTGTCTACTTAGAATGAAAAATGAGTTTCATTATAAGATTACATTAATACGCTTAGGTGGGATGTGTTACACAGAGCATGTCTGAAACAGCAGAGTACAGAGCATTTTAGCGATTTTCCAAGCGTAGCTTAGATGTGGCACAAGGCCGCAAGTATG